AATAACGCTTTATAATACTGTAAACGAATGTCAAATATGAATGTTGACACTATGAGATTGTGCCATGTGTTTGTCTCTTGTTCTATAGTGGGATCTTTTCCTCTAGCTTAACTACAACACTAATACCAAGCCTATCCATGTTAGCCAAAGGGTAAAACGTTCCAATTTATTTCCCATAATTTATTCCATACTCTGTATACATCATTCAGTATGTGCCTCATTTTATGAAGTTTGTATTTTGCATATTTGTGATTACATACCGTAAATATTCTGTCATATCCAGACCAAATCTAAAGGGACCTTCCCCGTTGTAATATTTCTTTTGCAAATTAACTCTGTATAAATGCAGATTCCATGATGTTCCATAATTACTAATATTTCATTAATCATTTTATTAATAAATGTATTTGCATCAATAACTGCTGTCATTTTTTTCCTAGTGTGTGTGGTCAGATAAACTGTTGTAATGATGTTATTCTGTCTCTAATGTTTCCCGAGGCCGTACTGTGAGGCTGGAGCTCGTCGTTAATCCGCAGACTAACAGCTGTTTCAGCGGGTGACGTGGAAACAGCTAAAACCCCTGCAGTCGGCATGACAACGTTGCTTCCCACTGCCACTGTGTGAGCCATCAGCAGCTTCCTCAGCAGGGTGTATAATCCACTGATGGATGACTATCTGCAGAGTGGGACGACTCTGTTTCCCCCTCAGGGAGGTGACTGAGTCAGACAGGACTCACTGACCTGGTGGTTAAATAAATGGTAGCTAATGGAGAGAGAGCGATATGCAAAGAAAACACTGACCCAGACTGATCTGCCTGTGTGAGGAGATACACACTGATTCACAGGGAGATGCTTCTTAAAAGATTCTTGTCGCTATGGAAATAATACATTGATTTTTAAAGATTATTTCCATAGTTGTGTTTTGGACATAAACACGGTTAATTTGATTGGCATGTGTATGATGAACACTGGCAGAAAGTTAGAATATTTTTGTTTATATTAATTGTATTTATTTTTAAAGGTGAGACTTCCTGAACCTTCTCGGAAATGAAACTTCATTTTGTTGTGTTTTACATGTTTAAACTAAATATCTAAATGTAAACACAAATAGGAATACAGACTGATATGAGGCTGATTTTCCGGACCCTCCTCCCATCAGGCTGTCATTTGTAAATGTTAAACAGCTTCTTTGATTGAGAAGGCATAAACACTTAAAAGCAAGGGAGCGTGAAGAAAAGTCCGTAAATATATTTTGTAAAACGATCGAAATAATTGTGCAATAGGTATATGGTTGGCAAATTCAGTTTCTACCACTTCAGGTGTCTGTTGTACAAATAATAACACGCCCAAGATCCTTCTTCTATCCCTCTTAAAGGGACAGTTCACCCCAAAACACAAAATATATTTACGTGTAGTTGACCAAACTACACCCAACAACCGTACATCTGCCTAGAATGAAAGCGTGCATCAACTCATGGAAGAGAGACTCACGCTTGAGACAGCGAAAAATGTAAACAATAATGACATCTTCCTCAGCTGAGCTGTAACGTGAGCTAACTTTGTCAAAGCATGTTTGTTTTCACACATTGATACGGTTGGTGGGTGTACTTCAGTATATAGAAAGAATAGGGAGAAAAATAGTTCCTACAAGAAGCTGCTCATCAAAAGGTCCGTGGATGATCTCAAGTAAACAGGTCATGATTTCTGGAAAGAGACATTGCTGTTGACTTTTACAAATGTGCTTTTTGTTCAACACAAGCCAAGTGCCATTTAGTTCCATTATATTGGAAATAAGTCAGTCACTCTACATCCGATATCTCCAACACTCAACTCACACGAGGCAATCTAGACGGATAAATAGCACTACAGGTAAGAAGAAATCATTGTATTAATATTTTTGTGAATACTGTTCCTTTGAGGCTTTTCCCTATCAAAATTGAGCCTACATTACTAGTGTTATACTGCAAAGTGCAGATATAAACATGAGTGCTAATCAGTCAACAGCTGGAGGCAGAAAAACACAAATGGCCACCTTTAACGATCAGTGCATTTTATTTTTCCATCACAGTACAAAAATAAATGAAAATAAGCAGAAACCAACCGAAAAAAAAGGTTCAATTACAGTAACAGCTTTTTTGTCTTTTTCAAAAAGAACATTTTTATTGAACAGCATGGACACCCCTCCCTCACCCCCACTGAGGGAAACTGAAATCCTAGTAGCAGTGTGGTTGGTGTATGCTTCATGTCCATAAGAAAAACAACATGTCACACATTCTTCTGTACAAATAAAACGCTGCCAGTCACTCACACATGCACACACACATTCACGCACACATGCACACACACATTCACGCACACATGCGGCCATCGAATGCCTCCCTTTCTGAAGTTCTTCATCACTGTTTCGTTATTTTTTATCTACAAAGTACGCAACAAGATACAGAAAAAGAATTTTACTTTAACTATCAGTTGAGTCTTTTTTCATATTTTATAAGCGTTTTGAAAGTATTTTCTCAAACAAGTACTCAACGATGCAAAGTGGAGAAAAAAAATGGCACATTTCGAGTGAATCGGGGGGGGGAAGTGGACAGAAAGAAAACCAATGGGGGTGTATTCATGAGGCCCTTAACCCCGAAAGCCCTGCTTTTATTCTGCCTGAGCAGAATCCCATCCAAAGTGCGTGCCAGTACAAACACTCCAAATGAACTTCCTCCACACAGCAGAGGAGGCTGCTCAGTACCTCTGATTCACACTACAGGAGCGGAAAGCCTTCAATCCTCTGGGAACACATTTAAAACATGACAGAGGCATTTTGTTGGCACTACCATTATGCTTGTATGACAGCTTATTTAGGATTTCTTAGATCGAAATCCTGTAGTTTCTCCAGTGATTGTAGTTTTTATATACATAGAAACTGTTTCCTGTGTAACATACAAATCGAATTGTTCCTGTTATGGTTCTCATGTGGTTGCCATTGCAGCCCGTCAGTGTTATTCTGGTGGTTTCTATGATTGAAAGTGTGATTATTCCTATAGAGGTCATCTCCCGCAGCCTCTTGATGAATGTGTTGTCACCCTGCATTTGATTTACACAGAGGCGACGCTGATGGAAAATCCTCAAGGTGCTTTTCTGCAGTCTTCAATATAAGGAGAAGTTTGATATGTGGAACAGCAGTTTGCAGAGTAGATGTTTTTTAAGGGCAGTTTCTCAGGTAAACAGATTTTCAGTTTCTGTCAAGGTGTCCTTGATGATGTCACTTTGGTAATGGTCAGATTTGACATTGTTTTTTTCTAATTAGGTGTTCATCGATAAATTCCCGCAACATTCATTTGCATTAACCAGATCAATCTTCATTCCCACCAAAGATAAGCAGGACCCCTCCTCACATCCTTCCCCTTCTCAAAGTCTCTCATCCCGATCCTTCTTTAACATTAGATGTGCCTAAATAAATATGTAAATGGCAATAAATTAGGTGTCAGTAAGTAGTTAGTAGTAGAGGAAAAACCCATACCATCTTTCAACAGCTGGACATGGAGTAAAGAGTGTTCTCAGACCTGTGGGGTTTTCATCAAAGATATGGCACTGTTATTTTAAACATTTTCTATGCTGAATCATAAGCATGAAATTAAACATCATTCCAAAAATTGAAGAAAGTACAAAAAGAATTTCCCTGGTAAACAAAAAGCCTATTTTAGCAAGCAGGGCTAAATAAACTAGTGTCACTTTGTTCACAGCATTCTCTAATGCAGATGCAGTTGGTTTACAAATCAAGTAAAAAGAAGAATATTGTTCCTACCCTCTGTAAATCTCTGTAAAATTGCATGGCACACGTGCAAAACATTACATTTCTAAGTAAAAAAAAAAAATAGAAATCAAAGAAAACTTGTTTCAGAAAAGCAATAAATAAGCCTCCATAGGTGTACGCCTGTGGGGAGTAAAACATCCATAATTTTTTTCTAGATGAAAGTAAGTTAGGTCTTTCTGATTGACTCATCAAAAGTCCTCTGGCTGTTGTCAAACAAGTCCCACAATGCAATGTTTGCTTATTGTCAATCCATCTGTTTCCTCTTGTCCAGTGTACAGCCACAAACAGAAAGCCACAAAAATATGGATCCAGCATCGATGGCCCCTGCTGTTCTCTCAGATATGCATCGCAGCAAAAGATGTCCACTCGTATCCGTGTTAATGGAGGGGACGAGGTGTTGGCAAGAGCCACAGTTTGCAGCCGAGTGGGAGTAGGGGGCTGTTCATCCGTGATGCAGGAAGAAAGCCAGTCAGGCGATGGCCCTCGCCCTCCTGCAGTAGGCAGCACATCACATGATCAAACAGTCAGAAGGTCACTGGTAGGCTGCCGCAGCATTCGTCCTCTCCACATTCATTGCTGTAGATGTTCCTCTTCTAGTTTTGTCTGTATTGTCTTTTTAAGATTTTCAGTGTTTCATATAGATATATATATCTGTACGTTAGCAAAGGATTCACCCCAGGTCTGGCATTTGTCTTTTACTATACATCATCCTCGAAAAAACCGCTTTCATTCTTGGGTTTACGGAAAATCCATCTATTGCTTGTTTGAAAAAACATTTTGGCGTTGTCAAATGGATGTCATCGAGTGGCAAAACCACACGTAAGCTCTCCCCCTCCAGAGTGAAAGATTCAGTCATACTAGTTACAAAGTTGTTATAAATGTTCCTAATTGGCCTAGTCCTACTTCAATTTGGACGATAATAAATAAATAAATAGCATCACAAACCATCTTTCTTTCGAAATGCCAGACTGGTGTTTAACCCCCCCCTTCCCTTTTCTCCCCCC